CCTCTTGGCGGCGGAGAGATTGTGTGGGCGGGGGGGGGGACGACGACTCGCTGCTGGTTCAAAGACAGAGACGCACTGCCTGCTGTCTCTCCTCCCCCGCCCCTCTAGTGGCACTTCAAGGGCTAGAAACTTGCTGGGCTCTGCTGTTTCCTAGGCCTCTTCTGACAAGCAGCATGAAGAATTGAACCACAGCCCAGGAGACCATCCAGCTTCACACGGTCGATGCCTCCAGCAAAGTCAAACCAGCCCGCTGCTGGTTCAAAGACAGAGACGCACTGCCTGCTGTCTCTCCTCCCCCGCCCCTCTAGTGGCACTTCAAGGGCTAGAAACTTGCTGGGCTCTGCTGTTTCCTAGGCCTCTTCTGACAAGCAGCATGAAGAATTGAACCACAGCCCAGGAGACCATCCAGCTTCACACGGTCGATGCCTCCAGCAAAGTCAAACCAGCCCTTGCTTTGTCCGTCCTCTTTCTCTCCTTGAAGGAGGAATCCCCTTTGGAGACCGTGGTGCCTCTGGTGCCAGTGTTGTCACAGTGGTGACCAGCGCAGCTCTGGCTGCCCCAGCTCGGGAGTGGAGAATCCCGAATGTGTTGGCAGGTGAATGTATCTGACAGTCACTAGCAGTGCTGCCTCGTGCTGCCTTCTGCAGCTTAATCCACTGATTGGAGGTTGGACAATGACCCTGCCACCAGGCTGCTGCTTGGCAAGAGATCCAGGGCCATAGTGCTTGCCCCCAGAGGGCTTCTGCTCCCTAGCTCTGGACCCAGGGGCGTTTGCATGTCTTGGGCTCAAACTCTACAGCCTTGCAAGCTGGCTGCATTTATCAGCACCATGTTGAACCAAGCTCTGTATTGCCTGCCCGTCTCTGCCCTGTAGGTTTCTCTCAACCAAGGTTCCCTGTTGCTTAGAATCCTGCTTGTCCTTTGCTCTGCCCATGTCAGCCCTTCCTTTAACACCTTTACAGGCTGCCTCTCTCCCCATCAAAGTCAGGCCCCTCACCGTCACCTTCAGGGGGCTACACCTCTGCTTTTCGTGCTCCTCGGTGTCATCTCACCTCTCCTTCCTCGTCATCTTCCACTCTGTCGTCCCACCTCCCTCCTCTTTGGGATGCTCCCTCCCCTCCCGCCTCCCCTCTCACCAATCGCTTTTCCTCCCTGCTGTCAGATCCAATCTCTCCTCCTGTGAATCCTCCTTTGATTGAGTGAAACTGTTAGCGCTTCTGAGCGCAACCGTCTCTTGTAGGTGCACGTTTGTGAAGTGATATGTGCCTTGATCGTCTGATTTCTAGGGAGGCTCGGTAGCTCTGAAAATCAGATGCTGACAAGTATAAAGAGGAGGTCCTGATTGAAGTCTGGGCCTCTTTGTGCTAGGCACTATGTGAACACCTAGTAAGAGCCACTCTGTGCCCCAAAGAACTTGTAGCCTAAATAGACAGGGCAAAGAGTAAAGGGGAAACAATCCTCAAATGTATTTTAGTGTCTAACTCCCCTTGTAATAATTTGGAGTTAGAAACCTAAACGCCTTTGAAGATCTGGGCTGAAGTGACCTGACCAAGGTCAGCCAGCGGGTCAGTAGCAGTGACGATGCTTTCTAAACCATACGCTTGGTCCTGTGGGGAGCATTAGATCTAACGTGTGGTACAGAGCACAAAACTGTGTCTCGGAGACCCCTGAATGATGTAGCCCTGCCCCTCCAACCTGCTCCTCCCTCCCCATGTTTAATCAGGGTTCTCTTTGCAAGTATTCCAGCTCAGGACTTGCTTTTTATAAAAAAAATGAAATCTTAGGCTCTGGAGCAGTTAGGTGACCATTTAAAAATGTGCAACAACACAGCATCTTACATAGCTGTAGGATTGCATGGCGGGGGGGGAGGGGGGGAGAAACGGGTCTTAGCTCTTCCAGGGATTCAACCTTTTCAAGCTGCTGACCTGGTTTTGCAGAGCCCAGGTCAGTATGGCAGGTGGGCTGCTGACTGGGCTATCCTTCTGATGTGAAGGGTTGGGGCTGGCCACTGTGGACCTTAGAGAGACAGTGTGTCCCATTATCCCCTTCCATCCCTTGGAAGGTCAATTTGGGGGTCTGTGGCTCAGTGCCAGGGGAATGTTGGCAGGCACAGATAAAACAAATGCTCAAGCCTGGGATAATGGTTTTAGGGTGACCGGCTTGTGCTTCTGTGTGAGACTTTCTCCTCCTGTCTGATTGTGAGCTGTCACTCATTCTGTCCTATAGCCAATTGAAAAGCTGATGGAGCTCCTGGATACCCTCGACAGATGGATAGATGAGACCCCGCCAGTGAGCCAGCCCTCTCGTTTTGGGAATAAGGCTTTCAGGACTTGGTATGCCAAGCTAGACCAGGTATGTATGGGGTTAGGAGAGAGTCTCTTAGATATGGACCTACTAAGGGTGGCTTCTCCAACAAGAAATACATCCTGCAATCATCATGGAAAGGCTCCTATCCTCATGTTGTAGCTGTGCGGCCAACAAATTGACCCGTCAGCTAGCTGGTTAGATGGGGACCATCTTTCAGGTCTTTTGATGTCAAGCCATTGGTGTGATTCATTAATTCCTGACCCTGGTGCTGGTTTGGAACCTTCACTGGAGTACAGCTCACCTTTACATGCACTTTGTCAGGCGCTTTGTTCCCTGGAAGTATTCCAAGGAGCCCCACTGACGGCTGTCTCCTTGAACCATCCATTGTGTCCTCCAGCCTGAAGATATGACAGCTTGGCCTGCCTCAGCTGAGAGTACTCCTCCCAGAGAGGGCTCCCTGGAGCCCAGGGAGGCAGAGCATGCGGTAGTGGGCATTTACCCAAGGGCTCCTTCAGGGCCCATAGACACACTGTGATGCGGTTTCATTTGCAGGGCAGTTAGTGCCAGCGAAAAGTTCTAGGTTGATGGCTTTGGAGCCTGAAGTCCTGTCTCTCTCTCTCCAGATAAGGATATAGGCCAGGCAACGACAGGGTAAGTGTCCACACACTGTTTCCCAGCATGCAGCAATCCTGCCCTGCAGAGTCCACCTCCAACAGTTGTAGGGGAATTCACACTCTGAGCCATCTAAGTTTGGGGTTCTCTGCTGAGGCTGCGAACAAGTGGGGGGGGTCTGTCTCAGTGGCTTATTGGGATGGATGCTTTTTAAGTGGAAGAAGTTCTTACAGCAGGCAGGGGAATTCTCTTTGACTAAATCTCTGCCACGCTGACTGGTGACTTTCACCAGGGGTGGGGACCATAAGGCCTGGGGGCCAGATCCAGCCCCCGAGGCTCATGGCTCCCCCACCCTCGGCACTGGGGAACCCACGCTGGCACTCAAGCTCCTCTGCTGTCCCTCTGCGGGGCTGGAGCACACAAAATCTACTAGCCTGGGCCCACCAAGGCTCTGGTGTGTGAGGGGAATGTGGGGAGTGTCTTTCTCATTTTCAGTTGGGTGTCATGCCAGTGAGGTTTGTGGTTTGTTTTTTGTTGTTTTGCTTCTCGCTTGTGCGTGGCACCTGATGGATTTTTCTGTGGGTCAGCAGCCCCCAGCCCAAAATAGGTTCCCCACCCCTGACTTACACATTCACCAGCTTGGAAGACAATTAATGCTGCTCCTTACATTGGTCTGTAATGGGTGCCGCTGACTAATGTTGGAGTTCCTCATTTTTCCCAATCAGTCTGCTTTGTAGGGGGGTGGCTTGCTCCATGCCAAACGAACTCCAACCAATAGTGAGAGTGTCCCTTCCCACATCGGTACCTTGGACTCACCTTTTGGCTTGCGGCAGATCTAGGCTAACGCTCAGGAAACATTTTGTTGTTGTGTTTTAAGGAAGCAGAAAACTTGGTTAAGACAGTGATCCCTGAGCATCTGGCTGAAGCTGCAGCAGAGGTAGCTGTGTACCTGAAGGAATCCGTGGGGAACTCCACCCGCATTGACTATGGGACAGGTACCGTCACATGCCCACTCAATTTGTCCAGTCTTGCTGGTCTGATTCCCCAGAGTGAATTCACCCCTGCAGTCAATCTATGTCATTGCCATTGCAGGGGACTGCACTGGATTACGCCAAGGCCAAAACTGGCCAGGAGAAAGGAGGGAATCGGAATCTGATTCAATCAGAGCTGATTGATGTAGAGTCTTGGCTGCCTCTTCTTACGTCAGTGGTGGGCATCCTGCAGCCCCTCACTGTTCCATGTGTGGCTCACAAGACATTTTGTTTACTGTTGCCTACAGGGTTGTCAGATTCTGCTGGTTTCTGTCCATGTAATTTTTTTTCCTACTGGTATTACTAAAGTGACACACGCAAAGCAAAGGCACGTAAAGAGAGGTGTGCTGATTGCACACAGCATTGATCATGAGAGTCATCTGATCCCTGTATATCTAATCAAAGCGCTGCTCCGGTTCAGTTGACTCCCCCTGCGCGTTTTCGGTACACAAGCGCTGTTAGCAGAACTACGCTATTCCAGGAAATCGACTTGGTCACGACAATCTTGCAGCCCACAGAGATGGAGGGCCACTCATGCAGCCCACTCACTAGCCTGAGTTACCCATCACTGTCTTAAGCTTTTCAAAATAAGCCTCCTTAGCATCCCTATAGCATCTTTCATTTAAGGATTCAGTGCTGTAGAAACATGAATTGACCATTGCAGCCACTGTTGAAATGCTCTCACCTCTGGGGAGTACCATGGGAGCTGTTTAAGAGCAACGCTACCTGCTGGCATAGATGAGGAGGGGCACTGGAGTATTGTGATTCAGCAGCACACAAGGGGGAGTTTTAGGCACTAAAATGTAATGGTTTGGATTGGAATCCAACCAGGAAATTAGTTAATATTTATAGTCTGAGAAGTGTCCTCAGATCATAAGGGACCACAGATGGTTGCTACGTATGGCAAAAAGACCCAGATAGGATCTTTAAGAGCAGAATCGGGCCCAGGGAGATGTGTCCAAATCAAAAGCTGGAGTCAGTCCATTGGCTTTAGTTAGGTTATTGAGGATTTACATCAGTGTGAGGGCACATCCTGAAACTAAGAGGAGTCCTACCTATATATATTGTTGAGAAAGGAATGTCTAGATAATAACTTAATCAAACAGTGGGAGTGAGGGTCAGTGGAGCATGCCAGGAGTCTGACACACGTGATTTCAGTAATGTGCTGGCTAAGGAGAGGAGGAGAATTGAGGTAAAGAGATGAAGAAATACAGGTTTGCAGCTCTCCTCTTCTGCTGTGTTGCAGCTATTGATCACCAGGGGGAGATGTTGCCTTTAGTAATGGACCGTTGGCTTAGAGACTGTTGGGCTGTAGCTTAATGAGGGGAAATTGAGTCTCTCCTCCACTCCACCGTTTTAAGCATAGGGCGCTCTATTCTTTCAGCTTAGCACAGCTAGACCTTAGGTGCAGCTTGTTCATACCCCAGCAGCTGCATAGCTTTATAAAGTGGAGCTGCCTCCTTTATTTACTCTCTTTATTGCTGTAGTTTCTCCTATCCAAAGGGAAAGAAAAGCGCCTTTCTGCATCCAGCTCTGATATTCTGAGTGCTGCACTTCTTGTGTTCTCTTCTTTGTTAGCCAGCAGAAAAAGCTGCACAGAGCAGGTGGCCCGTGGCTGACAGTTGGGCATCTTAGGGTGGTGGTTTTCTTGGGGTGGAGCAGAACTAGTGTCCCTCTAACATGGTGCCTTTTGAAAGTAGGATGAAATCTGTTTAATTGCTGATGAGTGTTTGTTTCAACCCCCAAACACATACTCCCTGTAGAGCTCACTGGGTTATTCTGGAATTCTCCAGCCGCGCCCCCCCCCCATTCTCTTGTTAGGAAAGGAAGTTGCTCCCAACACTCCAGTCCCTCAGTGCCTGGCTCTCAAAATATTTCATTCTGCAGGAAAGATGGCTCTAGGGGCCACAGGCCACTGTGGGAGAATCACAGAGATGAAACTGACATCTTACTTAGGAAATTAAGAGGAGGGAAGAGTATTTGTGTGTAGATGCAGGAGACCTGTTGTCTGGTGGTTCAATTTATTCCCTAAGTAAGAGGAGGGAAGAGTATTTGTGTATAGATGCAGGAGACCTGTTGTCTGGTGGTTCAATTTCTGGATTCAATTCAGGGCTTCTAAATCCTGCCACCGATTCACAGTGTGGCCTTGGTCAAGTCACAACTCTTCTGTCTGTTTTCCCATTTTACAGATCGGACTAATCCTTTGCTATTTCATAAGGATATATATTTTATTAATGGCTGTGAAGCACTGTGGGATCCTTAGATAGTGGGTGCTATGTAGGTGTGAAATATTGTTGTGTGTTAATAATAGATGGTGTCTTTTGAAGGTAAGAAGGAGCCTTAGTTGGTTGGTGCTGTACCACCCATGGAGATGAGGACTTCTGTCTTCCAAAGAGCCATTGTAGTACCTGCCAAGAGCTAATCTATTATGGGAACTGCTAATGATTTGTTTGTTTTCTTTTCTTCAATCCAAGGTCACGAAGCAGCATTTGCAGCCTTTCTCTGTTGCCTGTGCAAAATTGGTGTTCTCAGGGTGGATGACCAGTTGGCCATTGTCTTCAAAGTGTTTAACAGGTGAGGCAATGCAACTACAGGTAAGGTGGAGCTGTTCCTATGGCATTCTCCCTCAAATCTGTCTGTGGTTCACTGGTCATAAAGCATGTGGCCTGTAACTACCAGTCCACCACACCTGATTCTCACTGCCCCCCACACCTTTCTTGTTGTCACACTGCCTGATGTACAGTCATCTGTGTGTCTTTTCTCCCAAGGCAAGGCTAACAGGTGACTTGATCATTGTGTATATGTACCTTCATGGAGAGAACGTACCAGCTGCTAAAGGATATAATAAAAACCAGTGAATGGAAGATAAAGCCAGACTTATTCAAAATAGAAATAAGGGATAATTTTTTTTAACAAGTGGAGTGATTATCTTTTGGAAGAATCTAGCAAGGGAAGTGGTGGATTCTCTGTCTCTTAATGTTTTCAGAACCAGACTGGATGTATTTCTGGAAGATATACAGTGGTCATTACAAATTAGTAGGCTCAATAGAAGAGTAACTGGATGAAATTCTGTTGCTTATAGTAGATGAGATGAGACTAGGTGACCTAATGGTATCCTTTGACCTTTCAGTCTGTGAATCTGCCAGCCCTCCATAACTCCTCCTGCATTGTGGTGAGTGTCAAGAGGTGAGGTTTGCAGTGGTGCAAGCAGAGGACAAGCCATTGGGACTTTTGCATTTTCATAGAATCATAGAGCTGGAAGAGATCTCAGGAGGTCATCAAGTCTAGCCCCCTGCCCAAGGCAGGACCAATCCCAGCTGTGCCGCTGACTTGCTGTGAACTTGGGCAAGTCACTTCTCCTCTTTGTGCTTCACTTTTCCCATCTGCAAAATGGAAATGGTGAATCATTCCTCATTGGAAGTGTTGTACAGCTAACTTGAGGATATCTGTAAAGTGCTTAGGCGATGTGTACACTACCCTGTTGTTACGGAAAAAGCTACACAAATTGTGAACTGCAATTTGTGTAGGTTTTTCCACTTTTTTCGAAAGAGGCTTTTCCGACATTTGGCCCATCTACACTGGGCCAACTGTTGGAAAATCCCCCTTTTTCAGAACATCCCTTCTTCCTCGTAAAACGAGGTTCACAGGGATGCCGAAAATTTTTTCGGAGGAGCAGACTCATTCCCTGGACATGTCAGAAGTCTTTTCTGGGATACCTCCGATAAACCAGGCAACATACAGAAAAGTTTTGCAGCAAAGTAAAATTTGCAGATCACTCTCTTTTTTTAAATCCTATTGAATAAAAACCTCAATGCTGTGTCCACCCTTAAATTTACTGTCATGCCCAATTTTCTCTCTGATCTTGTGGCAGGCAGGACCAGACTAAGGGGTGGGCTGGCCAGGCAGCTGCCCAGTGCGTCAACCTATGGGGGACACCTGGATCCCGGCGGGCGGCAGTGGCCACCCGGGGCAGAGGCCGTGTTAACCCCCACAGCACCGGCCAGCAGCGCCCTTCCCCCCACGGCCGCAGGGCCCTGCACGGCCAGGGGCAGCCAGCCCCGAGCTGCGTGCCATCGGCAGTGGCTGGGCCGACTGGGCAGCACATGCGCCGTGCGTCCACCCATGCATCCCAGGGACAGGCCCGCGCATGCGCCATGTGCCCGGAGGCGGGGCCATGCGCCCCGGGGGGGGGGGCGCCAAAATGGCTTGGGATGGCCCTGGTGGCAGGGATGTATATCGAGCATGCAGTATTATATGCAGAGCACTGTATCAAGTTCTAGATCCAGAGGTCTCTCCTGGTCTGTAAGGAGCACCTTTAAAAGTTTACTCCCTCTTGTCCCCTGTCAAATGACCACAGAGCAAGGCAGCTGTTCTCCATAGGAACTAGCTCTGTCTTCACTGGGGACTCTGCTGACTCTCTTTGGAGGATGTGGGGGACTCTGATTTTTATACTGTTACCATCACCTGCTTACATGATGTCATCTGAGCAAAGTGCTGTCCCTTGATTTCTCTTCTTAGCCTCTTATTTGTAGCTGAATGATCAATATCAGGCATCTGTTAACTGTAAACTTAACCTCAATGTGAAACAGACTGAGTCAAACTCTTTCACAAATGGTTTATCATTTGTTTCTCTTCCAGTATGGATTCTTGATGCTCACTCAGCCATAAGGCTGTTGGACTGGGTGCTTGTGCTGGGTCCAGAGAGAGCATATTTGGGGCATCTGGTCCTCTCCTATATATATAGATGGGCTGTCTGAATGGAAACCCACCATTGTTTGTTTCTACAAGGAGGAGAGGCCATGAGCCTTTGCATCGAGTGCCTTCCATTAACCCTTCCCCTTCTCCTCTGTCTTAGGTACCTGGAGGTGATGCGGAAACTCCAGAAAACTTACAGGATGGAACCAGCTGGTAGTCAGGGAGTATGGGGCCTCGATGACTTCCAGTTTCTGCCCTTCATATGGGGCAGTTCCCAACTGATAGGTACTAACAGATCTACAAACGTTGCTATCTCTTCACTTCTGTCCTTCGGTGTGAAGTTCCTTAGCAGTTTGGGGTTTTTTTTCCAGTTATGTGGGACTTAAAAAAAAATCTCATCTGAAAAGTTTGCTTGCAGTTAAGAGTGTTTGTTCTCTCCTTTCAAAACAAAGCCAGTCAGTTGGCCAGCTTGTGAAAAAAGGTTACAATGGAAATGCTGAAACATGTTTAAGTACACTCCTTTTTTTTAATTGAGACTCTTGATGTATTTTGGTGCTGAAAGACAGTTTTTCCTCTCAGTGGTTTAGTCTGCTTTTACTGCAAAGGCACTGGGCTGGGAAACAAATTGGGTTAATTTCAGCTGTGCCGTAGAATCCTGGGGCCCCCTTGAGCAAGTCACTTAACATCTCTGGGCTTCATTTTCCCCATCTGTAAAATAGGTTCATTTCTTTTGTTCTATCTGTTTGGATGATGAACTCTGAGGCAAGGACTTAATTTATTTCTTTTGTTCAATCTGTTTGGATGATGAACTCTGAGGCAAGGACTTAATTTATGTACACCTAGCATAAGAGGGCACTGGGCACTGATTTCAGCAAGATCCTCTCAGTGCTGCTGTAAACAAATAATGTGTCCGCCAATCTGATCGCAACAAGGCAACATGCATCTAACACAATGCACTGGCTGGCTCACAGAATAATTCTATTTTGGAGCTGTGCTGCAAGATACCATTAGTACACAGATGGGCACCCTCGTCATACTGCTCATAGCACATGGTCAGGTCTAGTGGCGGAGCAGGTATACAGACTGGGGAATGAAGGGAAGGATCCACAGCAGAGTCAACTGCAAGTTATCAGAGCTGGGAGGCAAGCCAAAGTCTGAACCAGGAGTTGAAGTTGAGGATCAGAGCCAAGGTCAGATGCCAAGTGCCAGAGCCAAGAACGGTTGACCAGGAGTGAAGGCAGAGGTAAGGCAGGAACAGAGTTGGGCGCAGGAGGTAGGCACCAGTGGGGTCAGATGCAAGCACCACAGAAAACCACCACACAACTTCCTGTTCTTTCTCCTGGTTTAAAGTTGGACCAATTGGTAGAGCCTGGCTATCTTCCAATCGGAGCTCCTGTGGGTGGGTGTCTTAGCTAGGATGATAGCACTAGCAGCTTTTCAGCCCACTTGATTTCAGTAGCCATTGGGTAGAGGCCAGAATGTGGCAGCTGTCTGGGGGCTCCCAGGGCTCAAGATCCAGAACATCATAATGAATCCTATTGACTTGGATCTAGAGACAAAGTCAGTGAATCTAGTATGTTGCCTTCTTAGAGTTTGGGGTTAGAAATACGGCCTCTTGTATGGAAGAATGAGCTAATCCTGACAATTTACATCCAGTAAAATCCACTTCAGTCTCTAATAAAATAATGCAGCAAAGAGCATCTGTAAACATTTATGGGATCAAATGGACTGACCAATGAATGTCATTGGTATGATTTGTTCCTTATACACCCAAGAAATGTTACATTTTTGAATTTCAAAATAAGTGAAAGAAATGGAGTAGTTGTAATATAACTTGATTTGGTAATGTGTGTCAGGAAATCTCATAACTTATGTTGTCTTGGCTGGGAACCATACAGAATGAATGAAAAACTGGCTACATGGGCATATACAAATGCCAGGAACAGATCTGAGGGAATACTTTAAAATTCAGTGTTCGCTCATTTACCAAACAGATGTAGATAAACAAAGAAGAGCCTTGAAGGAGAGCAACTAACCTTGTTAACAGGCTGAAGAAAGATTAAAAAGACTGAATGTATGTAGCTTTGCTAGCTGAGGGCCATGGGCTCTTGAACCTACCAGTATTTGAATGGTACAAACATTCAGGAGGGGAGTAAGTTATTACCGAGTCCTACAATGAAAAGATAAAATTACAACAGGCTGTCGGGTCACACTGTCAGAATGTCTTCTCTATTAATCCATGAAAGAGTTTCCCAAGGGAAATGCATGCAAGTCCCATCTCTGGTGACATTTAAACCTCCATCGGATAAAGACCTATGTAATGTATGGTTGGTAGGGACCAATTCTTCACTGACCCCTCTATTAGTAATTGAGCATGAAACTTGCCTCTGACACACCTGAAGGTGTTGAAGTAGATTGTATCTGTAGAGGCTGGAGCAGGAATAGACCAAGCTGTTTGACATTGGTTGGCATCTGAATTATTTATTTTTCAGAGCACCCAAACCTAGAGCCTCGGCACTTTGTTGATGAGAAGGTGGTGAACGAAAACCATAAGGACTACATGTTCCTGGAATGTATCCTCTTCATTACTGAGGTACGGGTGAGGAGTCTGTCTTCATCAAGTCAATGGGAGCTGCGAGGCCCCGTGCCTATGGACACTTAGATAAACAAAGTGTCTCATGGCCTGCCAGAAGCTTACCTGGGCGGGCCCACAACTCAAGTTTGAAAACCCCTGCTCTAGGTCACTTGAATGTGCTCCTAACCACCACAGAGCTTGGGTCAGTCCAAATCGCAGCCTGGCCATTGGCATTCTGTGGTAAAACAAACTTATTAAATGTCCATTCTGGTGAGCTAGTGAGGAGATATGTTGCTGCACTAAGCCTGGTGGTTAAGCATTCAGAATCCTATCCTCATTGACGTGTATAGTGGAATTTTTGGAAGGGGGAAAATAATGCTGGCAAAAGGCTTCTTCTGCAGTGACATACGCTGTATATTTACTAGAGGGTATGGTTTCTAAAGGGTGGTGCTTATTGCCACCTGTCTGCAGTCACACAATGTGAGTGTCTAGAGTGAGACAATGTAAGTGAGGTAGTAGCTTTTTTTAAGACACACTTTTTAGCTTCGCACTGCTCTTCTTCAGGTCTTGAAGAGCATGATGTAGGCTTGAAAGTTTGTCTTTTTCTAGCAGAAGTTGGTCCAGAATCAGCTTTATTTTAGCTTGGGGTGTGTAACTTGTTCCTGTATTGGTCTATTACAAATATGCATCTCTGGGGACAGGTATAGAAAACAATAAGCAAAATACTGGCAACACTTGCTAGGTTGAAGTGGATTTTTAAAACCTCTCTTCCATCATTTTAATTATTTTTCCTTGCAAAAACTAGCTTTTTGGCTATTGATTGATAAATAAATAAATATTTATCTGTCCCATAGATTTCATTGGCTCCAATGAAATCTAATTATTTTTTTTGAAGTACAGTACCATGTCTAGCAGTTACAATGCCACCTAGTGGCATGAAAAGCTGCTCAGGGTTCTTGTTGGGTGAGCAGATAAAGACTTGGGATACTTTTAATCCTATTTTCCTCATAAATATTGTTTCAGACAGATTTATCGTTTCAAATGTAATTGTTTCATTTCATGGAGAGAGGCTGCTGTTACCACTAGGTGGAGCTACAATGGCTTTTAATACCAGCTTTTTATCCATTAAATCAACAAGCCAAACAACAAATAAGCATGGAAAAATAAGGGGGAAAAAGGTTTAAAAACTTACTTTAATGTTGTTGTTTTTCTTCTGATCCCTTGATTGAAAGCCTGCTTTCCCTCAACAACATTACCTACACACAAAGCAAATGTTGCACATTTAGACACGAGATTGAGTGCATTTTGTAAGTATTGGATCATTCCTTGCTCTTGAACTGTTCAAACAGCAGCAGCTCAGCTGTGTTTTTTAAAGAACCAATGCAGTATTTTCTTTAACTTCTCCCTTCCTCTGCCTATATGTGATGTTTCAGTAATATAGACACTAAATGACGTTGATTTGAATGTGTATATTAAACCTCAAACTGTTAAAGTAACAGTAACATAATCTCCAGGCTGAATCCACTAAAACTTTCTCCTTTAGTGCTCCCTGTACTGCATATGAGTATTGTAGCAAATGTTAAAGATGATTCCTAAATGGCTTTGGTCTGTAAATAGGAGTTCCTTATGTGCAAAAGGAAGTAGAGTGTTGTGTAGTGGTTAGAGCAGGGGACTGAGAGCTAGGAATCCTGGAACTCCAACTCCTTTGCTGGCTCTGTGACAGAGGGCAAGTCATTTAAAACGATTGCAAGATCCTCTGGGCGTGTTCTGGTTTTTTGGATGGGTTCTTATAGAACCTAGGATGATGGAACTCTTAAGTGCCGCTGCAATGTAAAGACTGTGAATTGAATTAATCAGTGCCTCAGTCTTTGTCTGTAAAATGGAATCAACATTGATGTGCTGGATGGGGAAAATGTGAGGCTTTCTTCATGTATGTAGCAGTGGGTGAAATGTGCCACTGAGAAGTTGTCACTACTGTTGAATCAGGCTCATAGGACTGTTCTCTGGTTTTAACTTCCACATTCAAACAGCAGTGTTTAAAAAGAAAGTGGCAAAAAGCAAGCATCAGAACATCTTCCCCACCCTCCTCAGCCAAAAAACCCTTCAGAAGAAATAATCTTCCGTTGCACAATTCCTCAATCACTAGTGAGCTGTGAGAAGACCCTTCAGAAGAAATAATCTTCCGTTGCACAATTCCTCAATCACTAGTGAGCTGTGACATCTCTGGGTGCTTTGAATGCTGTGTATGCAGTGCAGTTGTAGTTGTGTCAGTCCCAGGGAATTAGAGAGACAAGTGGGATGAGGTAATCTCTTTTATTGGACCAACTTCTGTTGGTGAGAGAGTAGCTTTGGAGTCACACAGATCTGAAGCAGAGCTGCGTGTGGCTCCAAAGCTTGTGTCCAATAAAAGAGATTGTTTCACTCACCTTGTCCCTCGAATGCTGCTAGTTATTGTGTGCCTACAATGTGCTGGGCACTCTGAAAGAGACAAAGATAAAGCTGGTCCCTTGTTAGGTCTCCAGTATAATCTGTGGTACGTATAGGGAAAAAGCTCAAGGATTTTGTGTGCGTGCAGAGGGCTGAAGCCTGAACAAAACAAGGCTGTTCCTTTAAGAGCCAAGGGCAGGCAGTGAAGAATTTCAGTTTCAATCTGGCTTCTAAATTTGGAGGTTTGGGAAGGGAGGGCTCAGGTTTCAGCTGGAAGGGAAGGAACTGACAGGAAGGCACTGCACTGAGCAGTCCCCCCCCCTCCCCCTCCAGTTACTGACAGAGGAACCATTTACAAAAGGCTGATTCTCTTGGGAACAGAGAGGCAGGAACGCAGCGTCTGTGAGTAATTTCCTGCTCAATATGGCTGCTCTGACTCACTACATTCCCCTGGGGTCACTGCGGGACTGCAGCGCTCTTGCTGTCTCGCTCGCTCACTCGTTTTCTCCCTCGTCTCCCTTTGTGGCTAGAATGAGCTAATTTTTTTTTCTCCCTGTCTGCCCTCCCTCCCCAGTTTGAAACAATAGCAAAGCCTTCTGCTGGATCGGACATGGGTTAGGAAGGCCGCGGTCACAGATGTGTCAGGTGCTCCGAACGCCCAAATCCTGTATGGCTTGAATTGGGTCTGGCCATCCTAGCCGGCTTTTTCAGAGCTTCCCATCTGCTTTAACTCTTTCAGGGCAGGAGCACAGCCAAAGGCGGGTTGATCAAGTCTGTGTCCAATCTGAACGAAGGAGAGGACTAGAAAACACAATGAGGCTTGTTGCTGAAATGCATGCAGCAGAATCTTTCATAAAGGGAAAGGTGCTTTTTAAAAACTGCCTTGCAGTGGATCCCGAGCAACTGAGACTTGGGGCAGTCAGATGGACTGTTCCAAACCTCGGCAGTATAACCCCCCTCAGGTGCACCATCTTCTCAGTCATGCACGGATCATGATGGGATGCCAAATCTTTTTGCTTAATGACACACCAGCTCCATTTAATTTTGTGTGTTTCATCTTTTATCTGCAAGGAAAATGTGTGTGTGCGCGCG